TTTATGACTTTTTCTCATTGGCCACATTGCTGACAAAGATGTATATAATCATGTGATAATTTTAACCTACAGGACAGGGGGACTGATTGGGCAAAAACCCATCCCAGTCCCCTATCCAAAATTATTAAATTGGTTAGAATCAAAAAAACAAAGAATTTAGGAAAGTGATTATACAAACAAACACTATTTTACAACTTTTCTCTTAACATCAGAGCCCAAAAGTAATTTCAGGGCCACCAACCCTGCTCTGAATTGTGACCTCCTGTGCTTGAAACGAATTGCAGATTCTCTTGATATTCCTCCAGAGTTGCAACAGCTTGGTCACAGTGCCACCCTTACCCTAGAGGTGGAATCGTTGCAGGTGACTTTTCGGCTAGCGTGCCAGCAGCCATCTCTGATCTGGGAAGATTAGTGAAAGTGTCTTTGACAATTGATGCAATCATGATAAACTTCAGGGCCATGCGCCCCCCCCCCTGGAATTCAGTAGCATCATTGTATCATCATGGAAATCTTGGTCAGATTAGCCTTTTGAACACAAGGAATATGTGAGAATGACTGTAGTGTGTGTGCTTCAACACCTGCCAATTTCTGATAATCAAACATTGCATATTGAAATGTTACTTCTGTAACAGTCAATGCTGCCTTGACACCTTCTTATGATTATAATAATATTATTAATATTGATTACAAAAAGTAAAATATTATCAATGAAAATCTTGTAATTACCCAGCAATGATCTGCTCCGCGTTTTGATTTCCAATTAAAATGTTTATAATAAAATAAAAATATCAATACAAATAAAAAGTAGTACCTCTGGTTAGTTATTAACACATTTTCTTTAGGAGGCCCAAACCAAGCCAGACAACAGCACTCACGTTTTGTCACCTTGGACTCTGTCAAAAAATAAATTGTTTTTTGTTTTTCCAAAAAAAAAAAAAAATCAATTCGCGTCTGTCCTACCAAATAAACCAATGGATAAATAATTAATGTGCGCGTCAATTGTATCACAAAACTTTTATTTTACTTTTTTTTAAAAATGTCTGCAGTAGCAAATAAAAAGAAAAGAAAAAACAAACAAGATGATTCTGGTGTCGCTGCTGGGTAAGTGTTTTAAGGATGGTGGTGGTGGTTATCGCCCACCACCTGTCGTCACTCTAGTTCTAGTTATAAATTTTAATCTTTTTTCCCCCAAAATAAATCCTTTCAAATGAACTAGCCCTTCCAATAAAGATCCATTATCATTAAAGTATATCAATAAACTTGTAAACGACTTATCAAGCTTGTTAAATGGATCAGATTTTTATGATGTGAAAATTAGGGTTGGGGAAGGGAAAGAAGTTAGGACTTTTGATACTCATTCAATTATTTTAAAAGCAAGGTCTTCATACTTTAAAGCTGCTTTATCAAATAATTGGGTTAAAAAATCTGAGGATAGTGATAATATTATTTTATTTGAGAAAAAAAATATCCATCCAAATATATTTAAGCTTCTTTTAATGTAGGATTAATTTATTAATTTTTTCAAATATTTATTATTATATATTTTTGAATTAATACTTTAAAATTATTTATTTTAAAAGATATATTTACAATGGAACTATGAATGTAGACAATTTGGACTCAAATGAAACTCTTGAACTCCTTGAGACATGTGATGAGTTATGCATTAGTGAATTGATTGAGGACTTGCAAAATCATTTAATTATTGGAAAAAAAGAATGGACCCATCAAAATATAATTCGTGTTTATGGATTCTCATTACAATATCAATTACAATTTAGTATTCTTTATGATTATTGTGTTAAATTAATTTGTGAAAATCCCAATTTATTTTTTAATCCTAATAATAATGATGGTTATGAGATGATCGAAGGATTAATGTTTATACCAATTCTGGAAAGGGATGATTTAGAAATAACAGATGAAATCAACATCTGGGATTATATAATTGAATGGGGGATTGGACAAATTGAAAAAAAAGAAGAGGAAGTAAAAAGAAAAGAAATTGAAATGGGTATATTTTCTCCAAAAAACAAAAAACAAAAATTAATCAAATCAAGAGAAAATATTTTAGAATGGAATGATAATAATGTAACTGAATTAAAGACACTCTTAAAAGACATTATTCCTCTAATAAGATTTAATTTAATTCCCTCAAGTGATTTTCATGGAAAAATAAAACCTCTCAAAAAAGTCCTTGATACAGAACTCTATGAAGAGCTTATTCAATATTATTATCATTATGATGAGTGGCAACCTAGATTATTATCTCAAAAAAACCCAAGGGTTAAAAGTTTATTAAATTTGCAAATGAAACATCTTATAACAAATTGGATTGACGGAGAAAATAATACATCTGCATCAAATAATTTATATGATTTTGAATTAATTCTTCGTGGATCTAAAGATGGATTCTCCAGTTCAGTCTTTGAAAAGAAATGTTACAATGTTAAACAAACTGTAACCATAATGAAAATCAAAGAAACAGGGGAATTATTAGGAGGATATAATCCAGTGTGTTGGAATAACAACAAATTTTTTGAAGAGGAAGAATATGAAATTGAAACAAATGATAGTTTTATTTTCAAAATAGATGAAAAGCAAATTAATAATTCAATATTAAGTAGAGTTGCAATACCTCAATCTGCAATTGGCCATGAATTACGGCCAACTGAGATATCAGTGAATTTTATGGATCTATATATATACAACAGTGACAATGGACCTTATTGTCATTATATCAGAGCACCATATTTTTATGAGAATGATTTAGATCTCATAAATAAGAACAAAATAGACCATTTATTAGAAGAATATGAAATATATAAAATTTTATAATCTATAATAAAATCACCTCTTTTTTTAAAAAAAATAATTTAAATATATTTGGTGGAAAAATAAAGGCTATTCAAAATTAAATCTAAGAATTCAAAAAAAAAAAAAAAATCATTCATTGATTTATTAAATTCCAATTATTATATATAAGACCATTTCATTGGCAGAACTATTTGATTATGAATAGCCCATATAACTTTTTAATTGCTATGATCTATGTTGTTAAGAATTAAAAGGAAAAAATAAATCAATATTGTAACAAGATTATTTTTCTTCCAAATGTTTCTGCTTTTTATTGGATAATAATACACTTTCATTTTGCTTTCTTAACATTTACTATTTTTCTTTCTTCTTGGTAAATTTCATAGGTAATCCTTTCTTTTCTTAGATAAGCTTCAAGTGTCTGAGTATCATTTATTTTGAAAATATAAGGAGCAATTTTTTCACCTTGTTCTTTTTTTAAAATACTTCTAATGGTACTATAATTCTTAGGTTCCATAGTAGATCTGATGTAAATTAGCTTCATATTAACTATTTTTATATAGAGGTAATTCTATATATCAAGAGGATAACAAATGGAAGATTTTAATAATCACATTACTAAATTTTGATCCCTGAAATCTTTGGTAATACCAATGTTCACTTTGTCTGGTTTTGTTGCAGTATGCCCCATATATAAAAATTTGGACCCAGATATTCTTGAAATGGAAAAGGCTATGTATACAAATCTGAAGGCAATCAACCTATACTCAAGGATTAGATTACCAAATCAGTTATAAGAAAACTAGTCAATTAGTTGGAGAAACAACAAATAATAGTATTGTAAATGAATGAGGCAACAAAGATATTTATTATTGTTAATTTAATTCAATTGTAAAAATAATTTGATTGGAATCAAAACTTGTTTTGGACAAAATAAAATGGAAGGAAATTCAAATCATCATCATGGAAATTGATTAGCAGCACTCCTTATATTTATTATTATAAACAAAAAGTATGGTGGACAAAGTCCTAAAATTTATTATTTTATTATAGAATCTTTTTTTTAGAATTACACAACATCGATCATTACAGTATTTAGTAATTTAAAATAACACCACAAATTAAAACGCATCATAAAAAAATAATGTCTTGGAGAAATCAATTATCAAAAAGTTTAAAAGAACTTCGTATACATTTTTGTCAAACTTCTCCTTCTAGCAAAGGAGTTCGGTAAATATTCTTTTCAATTTCTTTATTTATTTTTCTCTTCAATAACAAACCGCATCTTCCTATTGCTCTCTTTTCAATTAAATAAATAACTAATGAAAAAAAGCAATTATCTAGAGAATTTATCACAAATAATTATTTATCATTAAAAGAGGCTAATCCAAAATTTCCGATCCTAATTCGTGAAGCAAGTGGAATAGAAGCTCGTTTTTTTGCTAGATATGGTACTTATGCACTTTAAATAATACATACATAAAAAAGTGTCAATATTATCTAATTCTAAATCATTAATATTTATTTTATTAGATTTTGGAGAAGAGAAAAAAATTGCTTTAAATAATCTCTCAGCTAGAGATGTTGAATCTAAATTAGAAGAATTGGTTTTAAATAAAGTTTCTTTAAAATCATCATGACAAATAAATAACTGACAATAATAACAATCAATAATAATAATTAAATTTTTTTATCAATTTCTTATCTATCAATCAACATTTAATATTTTTGTCATAGTATCATATAATAGTAATTAAATAGATAAATGATGTATATTTATAGGTTAGGAACAAACATTATTGTCTGCTTTGGTATTTAAAATTAAATCAACAATTAAACCATAAAAGCCCAATACTTCAGCAAAAATCAATATTAAAATCATTTTTACAAATAATCATTGTTGTTGTGCATGCCCTCTTACACACTTTTAGAAACAAAAATATAAATATATAAATGAGTTATATATATCATAAATATTATTTCAATTAATTAACTAACAAATATTTTACCTTTTTAATTAATACTTACAGCATCTCCAGCATCACCTATTGAATAGCTTGCTGCTAACTGGATAAGTCCTACTGCCAATCCAGATCCTAATTGAATGAATCTGTTAAAAATTATTTAAGATTAAGATTGGAGTTACTACTACTATTATTATTATTATTATTATTATTATTATTATTATTATTATTATTATATTACTTACTATTACTATTAATATAAGTAATATTTAATTACAGAAATAAAGAATGGGAGACATTGAAAGCAAAAAAATAAATATTGATACATAAATACATGTTATATTATTGTTATTTTTCTTGTTGTTAATATTATAATTTATTAATTAATTAAACTAACAACTTGCAAGATTCTGTTATCAAGACTGCCATAACAAGACCATAAACTGCAATAATCCATAATTACTGGTAAGAGTGTCTAGAAGAAAAAATCCACTTGTTATAATAACTTATTAAAACTTCTAATTGCACATTACACTTAATATAATTAAATATTTACCTTCATGATAAGTTCTGGTTTAAAGTTCCTGCTCCTGCAATACCAAATCAGATTTTGCAGTGCCATAAGCTGCACCCATTGCTTTACACATGTAAATGATAAATTTATTGTTTTTTTTTAATTAATAAAATAAATATAACAGTCTACTTTATAAAAGTTAAAACTAAATGCTTGTAATTAAAGATCATCTACAACAATAATTTATATCAAAATAAGTTAGTTAACCATCTTTTGATTTAAATCAAATTTTAAACTGAAGCAACTTACAGCTGAAGCAACTCCTGAAAAACCAAAAAATGATGAATAAATTGGACAATAGTCATTTGCTTGAATTATATTTTACATTTCTTAATGTCATTTAAAATTAGATTTCTTTTATTTGGGAGACATTGTCATGGGATGACGCTGTAATGCTAAATTTGTACTATAATCACGTGATTATTTTTTTGTCTGTGACTGATCGGCATCATGTGAAAGATACTTACTACAGTGCAGATCATCTATACTCGAAAGTTAAAAGTTGATGCACATATTGGATTTTAAAAAAACCATCACTATTCAATTCAGCATGTAAAAAAAATTGTCTCGATTTTTTTTTATATTTTCATATTACAATTATATGCCCAAATTTGGGAATGATTTTCTTTTGATGTAAAGAACTTTTATTATTATTAAAAGAAGGGAAATAAATAATACAAATGGATCAATATATGTTGTAAGAAATATTCTATATATGAAAAAAAAATTGTTACACGAAGTTTACTTTCTTAAACGTATATATAACAAAAATTTGGAATTTTCAAAATGTTAAGGCTCTGCCAATTTTTAGTTTAAGAAAAACTAGCCGATAAGTTTTGAAGCTTAAGTCATGAACAATAAAACTTATCGGTTAACTTTTTTAAAATGATGTAAAAATTTTTTGTTTTAGTATTTTGAAGCTGACCAATTGTTACTATAAGCAATTAATTGATTATTGGTGATCTGCATCGTAGTTAATTTTATTGTTATTAATATTAATTATATATATATTCATAAATATTATTATTATTATTTTAATTATTATATAATAATTGTGATAATAATCCAAAGAAATTAAATATTGATATTATCTATGTGGTAACAGCTTCTTCTTACAGTTAATATATCATTATATTGATTATATTATAAAAATAAGATCTTGCTTCTATAATATCTTAAAGTTCTCCCTTCCTAAATATTTGTAATCACTTTTTATCATTGTAATCTTTGGGTTATCATTCTTTTTCCTTTTCTTCTTCATTTTTAATCGGTGGTAGCCATTGTATAGGATGACTATTGTAAAACGGATACGAAGGGAGAATAATCTATATAAATAGAATGAAAAAGTTAAAATGATATGAAATAGAACTATTAATCTAATTTTCAAATAATAATACTCACAATCGATGTAAATAATATACCACTACCAAATAATATAAACGTTACTTTTATATCTTGTAATAATAATCCCAAAAGAAATCCTAAAAGCTATTTACATCATAATTCAAAGATAAAGAAAAATTAGAAAAAAATGCAAGTTTGCAAAAGAAGAAAGAGGGGGTTTCCTTTTACTAACGGAAAATGTAATAACTCCAGTTTGTAATACAAAGTCTGCTAATTTCTGCCCTTCAAAATCCTACGATTTAAATAAAAAATAATCAATTGTCACATTAATTAATTAAGAATAAAATTTATAGATTAAATTATAATAAATTCTTACAATATTGCACTCAAGCCAATCTAAAGACATTTTTGATTAACAAAAGAGAAAGTTTGTTTTACGAAATCAAAAAAAAAAAATCAAGATTAGAAGGGTGCAGGCAGGACAACGAAAATAATCTAAAAAAAAATTTCCATTTATAGATCTAGATCATTTAAATTTAATTGCACATAAGAATTAAAAAAGAAATATAATTTATAAAACTATTTTATGCAAACTAGAAGAAATGACTCCAAAGCAAGAAGAGATACACCATACATACGTGCATACATGCATGCATACATATATATTGTAATTAGATAGATAGCGAGATGAAGGTGATGATTTTTTTGTCTATACTTGCTTTTTTTGAAATACATAAATTCATTTTGAAGATAAATTTTATTTTGTTATAATTTATTCTTTATTATTATCTGTTGATGTAGATTTGTAATCTATATACATTCACTATATATACATTAATGTAAAAAAATATATTGAGTAACAGTGCAGTATATTAAATATTTTATAATATATTTTATGATTATTAGCATTGCAACATTTAATTTCTTTTTTTTGTTTTCAAGATTAAAAAAATAAACCTTTTTATTTTTTAACTACCACAAGCTAGACTATTCATTATTCACATCTTCATCTACAAATTCCACCATCACTTTCCCTCACAACAACAATAACAATGATTTTTATTCATTTCCGTCCACTACACTATTGTCATTTTAGTATGTCTTATATTATGGACTCTGATTTTATTGGAGATAATGAAAGTGGAAATGGAAGTTGCAATGTTGACTATAAATAATAATGATGGATGTGATGATGGATATAATATTGTCATAAGCATTAATAACAATGTTATAAGTATTGTTATATAGCAGAATGTGAAATGGTAGGAAATGAAGGAAATAAAGTAATTAAAAAAAATCCAAAAAAGATCATAGAAAAAGAAGCTACATGTGCGCCTATTATAAAGGAATTTCTGTCTAATTAAAGCGAAACGTGAAGTAAGTGGTCGTGAAATTGAACTAGCACATCATAAATCTATAACAACGTTGGTCATCTTCGCTATATATACATAATAGTGGAAACGACTCTCACTTGATGTAAGTTTTGCTAGTACAAAAATTATAACTTTTGCTCTGAAATGAAAAAACAAAAAAAAATGCTGTTCTTTTTAAAATTCATTGTTGGTACTGACTGACTGCACAACCATTTCAAGTAGTTGATGATGATGATGATTTTGATGAGGAGTCTTTTAGTTTTTAATAATTTTTTTTTTCATAAAAGGTAAATTCATTTAAATTTCTTCGGTATTTTGTAAAGTTCCTTGTAGGCAAGCAATCAATAATTGGGTTGATAACGCTTGCCATTAAACATTTATCATTTTTCGATTGCTGATCAATTTAAAAAAATTACTTCTATTTGCATTTTTTATAAGCCTGGATTATAGATGGGCGCCTAAATTATTTTTGGGGTTGTCTAAAGTCAAAATAGTATTTGGGCACAAATGTCTAAATGTCTAAATTAATATAAATAGTAATGATTTGCTTTAAATACAACTAAAAGTCACGTGGATATTCACAAAATCCACAAAATTCAGTAAATTATCCAATAAAAAATTCAATTTCAGCATTTTAGACAATTGAGACCATTGTCCAAATGTCTAAATTAATTTATATTTTAGACATTGTCTAAATAATTTAGTTTAGACACCCATCTATAGCCTGGATATATTAATATGACTTGAAAATTTAAAAGGTGAATAAATAACAAAATAAAGTATAACCAGTATAAATGAACGCGTTATATGGTGTGATCTATTAATCAACAGCAATGATCACGTGAGAGGCCATACCTTAATTTAGAACAAAATAACAGGGAGAAGTCTGACTATTTAAATTAGTGAGAAGATGGGTGGATGGTGTCAGCTTGCGAGTGTAACGTTGTTCATCTGTCCCTTTGGAAAACTTCGACGTGTAAATCCTATGCGCCTGCCAAAATTCAAGGAAGAAAGTCTGGATTGAAGATCGATAATTAATTAAAGAAGCAGAAGGTTATAAAGTTTTTTTTTCAAAATAAACGGATAAGGAAGAACATATTAAAAGTGCAAACAAATGCGGGTTCATTTTTTGTGCATATGTTGATATGAAACGGCTTATTATGCTTGGAAAATTTCATATTGGCTTGACAATTGCGTAAAACTTACAATATCATATACTGCACTTCAAAAATTTTTGCTGCCATCCATTATATTCATTAGCCTTAACTCGACTGAATCAACCGAGTTATTAATAATAGGAAAACTGCGAATAATGTCATTTTTGCGAAGAGATAGTTTCATTATTCTATTATAATAAATAAAGGGATTTTTTATGAGTTTGCGAGTAAAAAGAGAAAACAAATATATTTATATAACATATAAGAACATTCAAAAAACTCTTGATATTTTTGTGGAGATATCAATCCATTGGTTATTTTTCTTTCACAAAAAAAAAAGGAATATTTTAATTGCAATGATTTTTTTATTCATAATTTATTGCCAACCAGAACATCTATTGATTAATTATTATTAATGAAAACATGTTATGATGAAATCTATTCTACAGTTATTTTGATTTAAAGAACAAATAAGAAATTATTTTTTGTCTGTCCTCGTAAATTTCTAACAACACCTTTGGTATTTCTATCACTCATGAATTTAGACAATTTTGGAGGGGAAATATTACCACGTTCACTGAGTATCAAAGCAGCGGCACCGGCAACTTCGGGTGATGAAAAACTTGTTCCAGATAATGTGGTAATACCTGTGGTGCTGCGGAATGAAGCAACTTTAATATCTCTTCCAGGGGCAAACATATCGACACATTGTCCAAAATTTGAGAAATCGGCCATTGAATCACTTTTTAATTCAGTTGCACCTACTGTGATTGCTGATGGTGAAGATGCAGGTGAAACTCCACAAGCATCTCTGGCCTCATTACCGGCAGCTACAACAACATGTATACCTTTATCGGTAAGAAATTTAACCATAAGGTTTAATGGTTCAAATCTTGGACCACCAAGTGACATATTGATGACGGTTCTTTTCTTTCCGCGTAGTAAATAATCCTTGAATACAAATGCTAAACCAACTATAATCTCATCATAACGTCCAGAACCTTGCGAGTTAAGTACTTTGACGGAGATAAGTTTAACATTTTTAGCTACACCAAGACTTCTGCCACCAACAACACTTGCTACTGCGGTACCATGACCTTGATCGTCAAATCGAGGGCACCCTGCACAAAATGAACCACCAAAAACAGCACGACCACCAAATTCTCTATGGGCTATATTTATACCGGTATCAACGATATAGACATTTACGCCTTTACCGCCGCTAGAAGGAAATCTGTAAGTTCTATCCAAAGAATATTTGCGTGTATCTATACGATCCAAATTAACTGGTGGATTTCTTTCAATAGCTGTAGCGCGTTTATTTATAACACCAATAGCTTTAGCTTCTAACACCTTTTCAACTATTGCAATATTAGGTAATCCTTTAATATGTTCTTTAACAAATTTAGAATTAAAAGAACCGGAATAACCACTAATTCCACCGACGGAGAAATGTAATATTTTATCACTTTTTTCAGAAAAAGCTGAAGTTCCTGGTTTATCTAAAGCCGAGTCGGATTTTAAACCCCAGCATTCATTGAAATATTTTAAATGTTCATCAATGGCTGAACTAGCGACAGATGGGTTTTCTTGTGGTTTAAGCATAATCATGAATCTTTCTTGATTTTTATTGAAGTCTTTTGAAGTTGCGGAGGGTTTGGGACACTCAAGTTTAGCCAAACCTGGTGATAAAAATAATAAAACCAAAGACAAGGTAGCAATTGAAAAAGATTTAAAAGAAACCATTTTGTATGTATTTTTTTAGTTTTTTTTTGTTTTGAATAATGAGATAAATACAATGAATGAGTGAGGCAAGTTAATTCCTGAGGTGAAGGAATTGGGGGTGAAAGGAAAGGAAGATAAAGAGATTGAAAATGATGAATGAGAGAATGAAGGAGTTGATTGATTGATTGATTTATGAATGAATTAATGGATGTGAATTATTGACAAGAAAATCACGAAGAAGAAAGGTATCGTTTATATATCAGAAAAATTGAAATTTTTGTACGCGTCCTTTATTTTTTTTGTATTCAATTAATCAATATTATGCGTCCATATTTGGTAAAACCACAATAAAAGGTTAAAAATAATAATTGTTTGTTTGTATATTTTTTGTACACAATTAATTGTTTGTTAAAATTACCAATTGATTTTATTTTCATTTAAAAAAAAATACAAAAATGAATGTCAAATTTGAATTTACAATGAATTATTTCCAAATTTAATTTCTACCAACTCTTTCTTTCCCTCATTAAAAAATGCAACAACGCGGTGATCGCCAAAGCGACCAACAATAATTCTATTTTCTTTTTCCATTTGTATAATTTTATTTTTACTAAAACCTCTAACGCTCGTTGTTCTTGAAAATTGTGATAACATTCATAATTTTTTAGAAATGTAGAAAAAAGACTAAAAATCGAGGAGGTTCCACATCATAGAATACATATACAAAGTGACTCTAATGCCATCAAAAAACCAATTAATATTCTTTTCCAAATTAATTTGGTTATTGTCAAATTTACAGAAGCATTTTTACATTGGTACAGCGCATATGCACTTTAAAAATAGCAAAGTTAAGCAAAAACAATTCAACACCGGAAAGTATACAAGGACATAAAACGTACCAATAGGAGGCTCGATTTGGTTTAATATACTACCGGAATAGTTCAAAAAATGGTGATTTTTGTTTTGCATTAACAAATTATTCTACATTAATATTTATATAATATTTATAGTGGACATTTTTTTTATTCTTTCTTTTTAATTATCTACTACTATTATTTGTTACAATGTATTACTATATAGTCAATTTCTCTATTTTTAAATATAACCTACACTTCCTGGACAAAAGTATAGGGACACCTGCAGACCATCGC